ATCATTAAGCGAAATGATATTTAGGTAACCAAGGTTACATTTATGGATGTCTAATTTCCAGATTTACCTCCAGGGTTTCACCAATAAGTGGCATCTAAAGTAAATCTGGGGGTTCTTTCTCGGGAGAACCATCTGAGGAACTGTGAAAGCAGTTATAAGATTTCAGTAAGGTGAATGACATTTCTCAGAGGGATTCCACACACCATTAGATTGATATTGAACCTCACCTGAAGCAAAAATTTAAGCAAGCATGGAGATTGTTCTGCTGGCTAAACATCTGAAGAACCATCAGTGAAGCCCAAAGAATGATGATGAACTAGCATGGCTTTTAAAGGGAGAGTGTCTCAATACTTGCTTTTCAGGGGCGATCCATTAGTCTAAGAGAACTGCCCTCATTTATGATTAATTAAATGAGTGGTCTGCACTGAAGTACTCCTAGGATAGAGGACTTTAGCTCTTCATATATTTGAAATACTTTGTGTGCCCCTCTTCATTGTACAGTACCAACCCAGCTGCTGAGAGCTTCAATAGAGGCCTGACTCTGGCTGCCTCTTGTCTTCTGAAGTGAGGCAGCTAGTTTCCAGAGACAGTGGTGACCATCTTTGGAACGCCTTCCTTTCCTTGTTTGATTGGCGTCATTTATTTATTTCCTTGGGTTTGCAAAGTCGCTTAAATAACACATACGGTGTCCAGAGAGAAAAGTCCTGATAACACTTTTCTGTGCAAACTGGACAAAAGCAGCATATAATTTGAGGAGAAAGAAACAGAGAGGTTTTGTCTTTCTTACTTCAGACCTTGTACACAGAAGGGAGACATGCAATTAAAGCATACAGAGGAAAACTTGCAAAATCGGAAGGATAATTATGTTCCAGTCTGCACATTTGTCCGGCCTGTAGCAAACAGCATAGTGAGCATGTTCACTTACCTGACCTCTCTCTGGGTGAGTTGCTCCTGTACACTGGGACACATATACAGAGAGGGGAGGTATGGCACTGACCTCACCAGGGTGTTATCCATCACAGTATGCAACTGTGACTTAGACAGAGGGAGGTCAGGTTGACCCAAATATGCCATTCCCTACTGATGGGGTGAGCTCCCGTTGCTCGGTCCCTGCTCCTGCCAACCTAGCAGTTCGAAAGCACACCAGTGCAAGTAGATAAATAAGTACCACTCTGTCGGGAAGGTAAACAGTGTTTCCGTGCGCTGCTCTGGTTTGCCAGAAGCGGCTTAGTCCTGCTGGCCATATGACCCGGAAGCTGTACGCCGGCTCCCTCGGCCAGTAAAGCGAGATGAGTGCCGCAACCCCAGAGTTGTCTGCAACTGGACCTAACTGTCAGGGGTCCCTTTACCTTTTACTGTGTCCATGAGTTGAGGTTCAGGTCACACAACACCCAGTTATCTGGGAGCGCAGCTCTTGAATTAAATAGGACTTACTTCTGAGTAGACATGCACAGGCTAGCACTGTTGTTGCCTTTGATGCTATTTCATTTGATAATATTGCATTCAGTTCATATGTCTTTGGAATAACTATATATATAGCCTAAGGGTTTGGATTGCATTGAAAAAAATCAATAAAATAAGACACTTGTGTTCTACGAAGCTTTCATTTAGTTCTCAAAGCATTTCCTTGGATAAACAGCCAATCAAGCTGAATTAGTTAAGAAAAAGACACAAGCCATTTCCAGTGGAGAGTGGCAATTGCTGCACAAGAATTTTAACCCTTATTCATTAACGTGCGTAACAGCTGGCTTGTGTTTCTCTCTCCTTTTTTGTGGGTTTGGAAGAAAGCTCATCTGGAGTAGCCTTAGAACTATGTGAATGGGTCATGGTTGGGGTTTCAGCTGGTCTCTGTGACCACAAACCACAACGATAAGGCTTCAGCCAGATCTATCATAGAGGCCTTTTAAAAACAGCCACAAATGATGGGGATCAGTACAGTCTGCTGGCCACAGAATAATAATGTCTAATCATGGTTAACCTTTTCCCCATCTACAAAGCATAACATTCACCCTGTGTAAGGGCCATTAGTGCTACATTTTTTTCTGTCTTCTACTGCTCAAGAATATATAAAGTCCAGCACGACACAGGTGTCTCCACACTACACATCTTAGTTGTGAGTTCTGGAAGACCTGCTCCCTGCCTTGCAGGCCTTTTCTCACCTGCCCGAATCCAGCTACAACAACTGAGGCTGCTGAAGACACCAGAGACCATCTTGGCAGTGTGTCCTGGAAAACCTGCTCCCCCAGGCCTTTTTCCACTTGGCCTGGGAGTTCAGGGCCCGGACTGACTCCAGCTACAAAAAGCTGAAGCTGCTGAACAAACACTTGGGCTGGGGTCTTGTTTAGGGTGTTTTGTTGGGGAGGGGTGTTGTTGTTGCTGCTGCTGGTTCCCCCCCATCTTTATTTTAGATCTTCTTGTGATTTATGTGGAGGTTCTCCAATTTGGGTGTGTATTTTTTAATATTCTATTTAGTGTTTATAACTTTGGTTACCTTGTAGCTATGCGTTTCTTTTCATGTTGTGAGCCTCCTCCTCAAGCATGGTGTGAAATGTGCAAATACAAATAAAACGATGTATGTATGCATTTCTACTGTTGCCCTTGCAGTTCTCCACAGATGATATTGTGCTACCAGACAGACATGGGTGTCCAGAAGAGTCATGCAAGAGAGCCAAGCTATGTACTAAAGCTGGGGAAACTTTTTGAGGGCCGCATTCCCTCTTGGGAACCTCATGCTGGTGGTATGCATAACGGAAGCTAGCAGTGGTTGGGACTGAAGACAAGAAAAAGTGGAAGCACCCCATTTTCTACCTCTCTGCCTGCCCATTGTCTCCCTCTCTCCTTCCGTACTTAGTGGGATGCCAGAAAAGAGGTAGAACACTTTTATCAGAAGCCTGAACTATGACATCCTCTTCAAATTAGGCCGAGGGCTTCATGCAAAGGGCATTTCAGGTACCTTGGAGCACTGTGGAGAATTCAAAATGGTGGACTGTCTTCACCTGCTACAGGAAGTTACAGAGCCAGGTCAGTCCTGGTGGGCTCTGATGGGGTGCTGTGCTATCTGTGCTTGTTCAGGATTATACCAGGTGCTGACCCTTGGCTTGACTACCGTGCAACAACTAGGACTTTTTTTTTACTTTTATGGTTTTTTTCAGTAACGTTGCAGTTTTTTTCTTATGTGATTTTGTAATTCTCCATGGGTTTCGTTTTGGAAAACCATATTAAGTCTCACCTAGGAAGGTGGTATGTGAAACAGATAAATCTGTGTCCCGCCCCCCCACCTATGACCTGAAATGGTACAGTCCAATGCTAGTTCTTTCCTCCTTCCACCTGCTGCTTGCGAGAACATACCTTACAAATAAAAATGTCATTCTTGTGCTTGTGAAAAAGCGTTTCTATATGGAGATTGCCCTCTTCTAATCCTGTTTCTCTCTCTCTCTCTCCTTCTCTGAGTGTTGTCATTATAAACATCATTGGGGGAGTCATTTCACTGACTGGACCCAACGGGAGTCTGACGCTCTTATTTTGACCGGCTGTTTATTGTGCCTGTAGCTGACTAACTTGCCGTATCAAAAATACAGTTTTGCAAAATAGACACAGATGACAAACAGAAAAATCACAGGAAAGAGACAGTATGGGTATGGAGCACACTCGAGTCTCAACTAGGTGTACTTCAAAAGCTCATTATAATCAGCAAACGAAATCTTAGCATCGACTGTCATCTACTTTGAGCTATTTCATCTTTTCAAGACTCTCTCATCCTGTGACATCTTCTAAAACAGCAGGAACCCCCGTCTTGTGCTTCAGCTATCCAACACACAACTCTCAGGTGGAACTATAATCTTTTCCCCAGATCCAAAGTCCTCCGGTTCCATTGCTCATTTTCATGATAAGCCACCCTAGAACACTTGCCCAGGAAGTAGACACCCCGTGTGGAATCAGCAAGAGGAATTGCATTCTTAATTATGCTCTATTTATTCAAATGGAAGAGTAAGGAATGACATCTGCAACTTTGATGAAACAGTGGAGGCTGGTCCAGTAGCACAAATGGGGTGTTGCCCCACCAACCTCAGTTTGTTCTCAGCCAGCCCCCACCTACCTTATTCTTATTTACAACCAGACCAGGTTGTCAACTTCCTCCACCTTAGTCCCTTGTAGAACTCAGCAGGGAGGAAGATGATGGCAACACTAGCATTGGTTGACTTTGCCTGTCATTCACTCTGGCTCCACCTTCTGTTGGCCTCCATGCGTTCCACTCTACAAGTTCCATTGAGCACCAGCCATCACTGTTTGCCTCAGTGTCACATAACTGGAAGGCAAGCTCACATAGTTGAATTTTCCCTTATCTGACTACCCTTATCCACCCTGTACCCAGCCCAAAAGTATTTCCAGAGACTCTCTCACCAAATATTGTGGGTTTTGTCTCACAGTTTCAGAATCACCTGAAATTGGGCAGAAGAGTGTTGAGGATCCAAGTCCACCCTATCATGGAGGCCCCTTAAATCACAGCCAAAAAATGTTTGATGGGAAGGACCCCCTCCCTCTTTCTCTCTACACAACACCCACACATGCAAACACATACTGTATATATGGAGTGTCTTCCACATGCACATCATTGGATACAACCAAATGGTAAAATTTGAAGTCCAATGATTCCCCGCCCCCCCAGACAGCAGAATCCAGTGAGGAAGTTATGGCCTTCAATGTACCACTTCTGGCTTCAGGGATTTGATCACACATTTGAGTCCTTTTCAGGCTTTCAAAAAAACCCTTCCACATAGAAAACTAGCTATAGGGTTGCCATATTTTTTGGGCAAAGATGTTGAGGTTTTTATTGTTTTTTAGTTTTGTTGACCTTTTTCGGCAAAATCACAAACAACAACAACGTTTTTGAGCTTTTTTTTAATGGAAACACTGCACAAACAGCACTGCCAACACGGGCTGCCATACATCCACATTTGCCCAGACATTTGCCCAATTTCCACCCAGTAACTGCTGCTCACGGCAGTGTTCCAGATATGTCCAGGAAAATCAGGACGTATGGCAACTAGCAGTGCAGGGAGAAGGGCTGGACCTCATCTTCCTGAGATGTTGTTTTTCTATGCGCAGGGCAGGGAGCTATTTTTCGAGAGGAGCATTCAAACACATTAAATGTCGCTGTTAATACCGCCCAGGACAAGCTTCACCATTTGACTCTGCTGAATGAATAAAGTGCATAATAATAGCAATAACAACAACAACAATACTTTGAAGGAACAGAATTCACCGGAATTTGCCTTGGATGTTAAGGTAGACTCACAGGAGAAGAGAAAAAGATATAAAGAGGGAGGGAGGGAGATTGTTTTCAGACGTTGCCCCCTCACTTGCCATCTCATTTCCTCTAAGCTTAGAAATAATGTCAGATAAGCCTTTCACATGTATTCTGGAGTGGCTGCATGTTTAAATACATTTGACAATATGCAGCAAAATCCTCTTTCAATACGCCGGGCGGCAGACAAACAGCAAAAGGGTAGTTCTCCATGTCTGTAAATACAGCAAAGCCGGCGTGTGTGCCGCACAAACTGACCTTTGTGGAATTGTTCAAATTTGGCAATGAAATTGATAGATTTACATGATGCATATGCAGCCAGCCGCTCTGTCTTCGTGTCCTTGTGCTCATTATAAAAGGCACGGACACCGCGCTTGGTTTATAGAGGGATGATAAAATACCCCATGGCACCTGGGCTCCCTGCAGAGCTCAGAAGATTTATCTGCCTTTAGATGAGGCACTCTTCACATGGGGACCGTTCCCTTGCCATCTCCCCACTGGTGAACTTAAAGCCTGGACTTAAAGGGATCACTTATCTGGCTGGGAGAATAATTTAGTCGCTGTCCACTCTAGGCTTTGTCCTCCCAGGCCTGTATTTTAATAAAGGACATCAGTTTACTCAATTGTGCTGAATTGTGATTTTGGGGGTTTGTGATTTAAGCCAGACGGGGTCTAATGGCTGTTTTATCTCAGCAAGGCCCAGCTTTTCCTGGGAAGGAGCAGGCGGGGGAGGGGCACGGGCTTTGCCTGCTCTCTCTGCTAATGTACATATAGAGACCAAAGACCTTGGAGAAGGGTACATGGCTGACACCTGATTGGAAGCAGAGGGGTAGCAGTAAATCCATGCCACACTCTTGTTTCCCTGAGCCACAGCAGATGAATATTGCATTGCGTTTGCAAAGCATATTAAGCATGGGGAAAACCTTCTTGGGTGAAAGAATTTCTATCAGAGGCGCTATTTAAGACCCCTCTTCTTTGGATCAGTGTTTTGGAAACCTGTGTTGTAAGCAGGGCTTTTTTTCCCCAGCCAGAACTTGCCAGAACTCAGTTCCGGCACCTATCAGGTGGGTGCCATTGCCATTATAACAGAACATGGTGAGTTCTGGAGCCTCATTTTCTAGAAAAATAGTGCTGGTTGGATGTCTTATGCAGAAGAAGAAGAAGAAGAAGAAGAAGAAGAAGAAGAAGAAGAGGAGGAGTTTGGATTTGATATCCCACTTTATCACTACTCGAAGGAGTCTCAAAGCGGCTAACATTCTCCTTTCCCTTCCTCCCCCACAACAAACACTCTGTGAGGTGAGTGGGGCTGAGAGACTTCAGAGAAGTGTGACTAGCCCAAGGTCACCCAGCAGCCGCATATGGAGGAGCGGAGACGCGAACCCGGTTCCCCAGATTACGAGTCTACCACTCTTAACCACTACACCACACTGGCTCTCACTTGCTTCTCCATGGACCTCTCTCTCCATGGTTTGAGGGGAAATAATGATGATGGAGTCTTTCAGGACCTTGCATGCTTAAGAAATTTGCAGTGGCATAAGTTTTTGTGGAACCTCCAGTTCATGAAAATTCATGCCACTACCAGTGTGTACATCTTTAAGGTCCTGCAATACTCTTCAGTTGAATTTGCTGCACCTACCTCTCTGGTTTGGAGCAATTAGCAATAAATGCATAAAGAGCAAAGCAGGCCTATGTTGAATATTTTCAGCATGAAAATGGGAAATTGAGGAACCTGACATTTTCTCTGAAAGAATCCCCCTTATTTTTTCAGAAAACAAAAACAGCTATTTCAGTCCTGCTATCCAAGGGCTCAAAGAGAAGACACTATAGCAGGGGTGGGAAAATGGATTTTCCAAGTGGTGTTGAACTCTTAACTCCAGCCAGAATGCTCAATGGTCAAGAACTTAAGAAAATACCTCCTGTATCAGGGCCAAAGCCTCATCTTGTTTGACAACCAGTTTTCACAGTGGAAAACCAGATACCTGTGGGAAGCTCACAAGATAATGGTATTCAGATGCATACTGGTTCTGATGACAATACAGTCCTACATAGCCAGGGGCACCAATTTGAATAAAATATTGGGGGCAGGAGCAGATAGAAAGGCAGGCAGAAGATTGCACATAACCTCAGATATTTTATTTGCATTATTCCAGAAGGCATTAGGGTCGAACTAAAATGGCGCACTCAACTTCATTCTCCAGGCCATTGCTAATTTTATTTATCTAAATTACACTTGGATTGAATATTCTCCAGTTGCGTATTTGAGGAGTGGGTGGCATCTAGCAATTCTGCTGGAGTATAAATGTATCCTGACAAACAAATTGAGAGAATATTTATATTTCTCCATTGCAGTTCAATGCCATTGTTTTCCCCACACTTTTGCAGTGCCCCCTTCCCCACCCTTTTTTCTTCTGCCTCTATACAGTGAATAGGAATACGTTACAACACGAGTAACAGCCAATCGGAATTGGTTGATGTCACTGAGGGTAACTAGGAAGTGAGCCAAATAAGGGTGATTTGTTAATACTGAATATTTATAACCCACCTGGAGAGGCAATGTAAAGAAATAACTTGAGGAGCCATTTTAAAAAAAGAAAAGAAAAAGAAATCAGTAAAAAAAAAAAGAAGGGGAGGTTTTTCAGCAGTGCCATCAGTGTTTGCAAAAAACTGTGAGTAGTGTTGGCGCAGCTCCAATTTAAATATATGCAAATTTTAAAATGCCTAATCACTGGCATTGGAGCTGAGCAAAAATAAAATCAACTGTGAGGGGGGAAAAACACCCCAATCAGGATGATTAAAAATCAGCTTGGGAACAAGTCTGTTGTTTCACAGCATACTTTTTAAAATAAAAACTTATTCTCTCTCTCTTTAATGGATGTATATTTATTATGGAATGGTGCCTTTTGATCCTGCATGACCTGGCTTGGCCCCCCTTTTTTCTTTTAATTTTAATGTGAGAAAGTTGAGTTCTGCTCCCAGGTGGACACCTCCGAGGTATTAATGTCTCAACAGACTAGTGTTCTGTGGTCTTTTATCCCCCTAGTGCTTGGAGACAGATCTTTGTGCTATATAGCCAGAGACGATATGGGGGGCGAATTACAAATTGCCTGTTGGTTGTGAAACATTTATGTTCTTTGTGGAATGGGGGCAGCAAGAGCTGAGAGAGAGAGAGAGCGTGTGAAATGGCTGCTGGAGTTCCCCAAAGCCCAAGTTAGGAAGGCCTAAAATTGGTGTCTCTCTCTGTGTGTGCTTCTTCTGCCTGACTAAAGCTTACTGTGCAAAGACTCGTGGCTGATCCGTTCTAAGGGCGTTTCCAAACTCTTGGACTGGTGGGCTGCACCTGCTCTGAAGGAGATTTCGAAGTGCAAGGGTCTGAATGGATTCAGAAACAACTCTTTACTGCTCAAACACTGGCAGGCTTTTTCCTTACCGCACAGAGTCCTTTGTGTGCCTGCGTGTCTAGGTGCTTGCTCCAAGATCATTACTATTATTATTATTATTATTCAAACTCCCCCCGACAAAAGCTGATGCTCAGAGGCTGCCCATAATTTAAGTACACATGACAGGTAACTAACATGGTGAAATAAAGCATAAAAGAAATAATTATAGCCATAGGAATCCAACACCCACGCTAGCATAAAACAATTTATGGATAGAGGACTTGAACTGGGCCCCAAAGATCAGTCCACAGTATTCACATATTTTGTTAGCAAAGTGCCCCATCAAGTTGGGGTGTGTGTGTGACTGAATGCCAGGGACTGGTGAATATGCCAATGTTGGTCTCTCATTTTTACAAATCTTAAGCCCAGTTCTTCACATTTCGACATCAGTTTGCAATTTTTGTGTTAAAAAAGAAAATCCTCATGAAAATTCAAAAGCATTTAGTGCATTTGTCTCCCAATATGCACATTTTTGGGAAAAAAGCAATTTTACCTAACAATGCATCTCTGCATCATATTTTCAGTAATATATGCATCTATATGCACAGTTTACCCTATGGATTTTTGTACACATTACTTGGCTAGAGAATTGCACCACAAAATTCGGAGAAGGGAAAATTTCGAAGAATGGCTGTGCTTCAGTTCACATATTGGTTTGGAAAGTCAGGATTGGGTTAGTTTATCTTTCAGTGTGAACTGAACTTTTATTTCTATTTATTTTATTTATTAAATTTGTATACCACCCTTTGTCCGTAGATTTCAAGGTGTTTCACAGCACAGAAATACAAGATAAAACCCACAAAATACTTAATAAAAACAAGAACAAAAACAAACCAATAACCCCCTCCCTTGACAAACGCATTCAAAAGGTTATATGATGATAATCCGCCAAAGGCCTGGTGGAAGAGGAACATTTTTGCCTGGTACCTAAAGGTGTATAGTGAAAGCGCCAGTTGAACCTCCCTGAAGAGAGCATTCCACAAACGAGGAGCCACCGCAGAAAAGGCCCATTCTCGTGTTGCCACCCTCCAGACCTCTCGTCTGATAGCACAGAGGTCAGGGCGGTGCAAATGCTCTGAGGGAGCTGAACGAGTGCTCCTACTGATGTGTTTGCACCACATCAACCACACTGCCATCTTGCCACTATCCCTCCTGGCAAGCAAAAACAACCCACCTAATGGGAAGTTTGTGTGCAGGTACACCCACCTGGCAAGCTGCTTCTGGGCATGGAGCCCCATGGGAGATGTATTTTCCCCAAGGGCTGTGTGAGAGCAAGAAAAGAACCTCTTGTTTGAGGCTGGCCTTTAAGAGCCCCGGAAGTTCATATCCAAAGTTGGCTTGGGCAAAGCTGCCCTATTCTTTTCTAACACTCCGGAATACCGTTTTACAGACTAAGCCACTTAGAAGGGTAAGCCAAGCAAGAAAATGGAGTCTAAATGGCCCATATACCTCAGGTTACCCTTTCATTCCAATGTGCCATTTTTATTTATTTTTAACCAGACATGGAGATAAAGAGTTGATTAAAAGCTTTAAAGTGTTCTTTGTTAAATTCTTTATGTGGGGTATCTCCTCAGATAAACCATCTGAGCTTTACGCCGAAGCACTGGGAAGCATGAAGCAAGTCGCTCAGTTAGTACAATTTTAAAACACAAAGGAGCTGCACCGTTGAACATCAACAGAAACATTCTTCAGGAAGGTATTCTTTTATATACATATAATGTGTTTTCTTTGTTAGGCTATCGGAACGATCAAGCTTTCAACGCCTTGCAGAACTGTCTGCGATTGTGCCTTTATTTTAGCACGCATATTTACAGCTTTGACAAATAAATGGAGGGGGGAAATCCTGAAAAGTGCATATTCTTTCTCCTTTGTCCTCGGTCCTGAGAAGCACGGAGGAGCTCATCGCAAAGATGAGAGGGCACAAGGCGGCACGGATGGAATCACCTCAGCAATCGAGGAAGCAAATTTGTCGACAGAATCTCGTCCGTCTTAACAAGAAGGATTTGTATCTTATTACTTATCCATTTACATTTCTAACCCACACTATCCCAAAGCCTATGGACAGGATTGCAGTATTTTTATTATTATTATTTTTAAGAAAACCAATTACAATTTTTTAAAATAAAAAAATACTAAACTCAAGTTAGTGAACTAAACTTCTGATAAGATGCTCTCTGCAGAAAGGCCCTCAATACATTTTGGCTCTCTAAAGCGTATGCCTGGAGCACTGTAAGAAAATCTTAAGTGAAGTATAAATAGTTCTTTTTTATTCCATTTATTGCAACTTCACGGGTTGTGGAAATATTATTTTGGTGTGTCTTCTGTTTATATACTTATCTGTTTCAATTATTGTAGCGCTGAGTTTTTATATTTGATACTCAGTTTTCTGGATTTTTGTATTATTGTTTCTCCCTTTCTCCCTGTCTTTTTTACTTTAAGGTTCAACTCCATTTTTTTGGCGATGGATAAGAGGCCACACCATCATGGACAATATCCGTGGAGTTAATATTGTTTAAAG